AGGAAAAACTTTATTTTTGTCAAAAGTGTGGCTTTCGGCAAAAAATACTGACTGATGACGTAATATCAACATTTATGGGACACATTTTGAATTTAAGAAAAAGATTCAAGCACGTTATCGTTTTGGCCCATAACGGTGGAGGTTTCGATCACCAGTTTATATTAAATTATATCTTAACCCAAACGGATCTTACACCTGAACTAATAATGAGAGGAACAAAATTAGTCTCAATGTTTCTAAATAATGTAAGATTTTTAGATTCACTAAATTACTTCTCGATGGCTCTTAGTAAACTACCTAAGGTGTTCGATCTAACAGAGCTAAAGAAAGGTTATTTTCCGCACTTGTTTAACACATCGGGGAACCAAAACTATATAGGACCAATGCCTCCAATAGAGGCTTTCGACCCTGATAATCTTAAATTCAACGAAAGGGAGGCCTTATTGGCTTGGCATGCCGGAAAAGTGACAGAAAACTACGTATTTGACTTTAGGAAAGAATTTATAGATTACTGCATATCCGACGTTGATATATTGGCACAGTCGTGTCTGAAATTTAGACAGTTGATGATAAAGGAAGGGAACGTATGCCCTTTTACCGAAAGCGTCACGTTACCGGGAGCGTGTAACAAAATATTTCGGCGTTCGTTTTTAAAGCAAAATACCATCGGCATCATTCCAAAGGGGGGATATAGACGTTGTGATACACAATCCGTCATAGCTACTCGATGGTTATTGTTAGAAGAGCGCAATCGCAAATTAAATATAGTACATTCGGGTAGGCAGAAGGAGGCAAGAGTGGGAGGTGTAAAAGTCGACGGATATTGTGATGAAACGAAGGATGTATTCGAGTTCTATGGATGTTACTATCATGGCTGCCCCAGATGCTTCAAGTATGCAAGGAACGAGCCTTTGTTAGATAATACGTCGGAGACGCTCGAATACCGTTATGAAGCTACAATTGCAAAATCTAACAGATTAAAAGAGCTGGGTTATTGCGTTAACGAAATGTGGGAGTGTGACTTTCGACAACTTATGACACAAGAAATGTACAGGTATACAGAAACGCATCCCGTAATGTCATATTCACCACTCAACCCGCGAGATGCGTTTTATGGTGGTCGAACAGGAAACGCAAAATCCTTTTATATAACAAAGGGAGATGAACGAATAAAGTACGTTGATTTTACCTCCCTATATCCATACGTCAACAAGTATGGAAAATACCCCATAGGGCACCCTACAGCAGTTCATATTGGGGAAGGATGTAAAAAGTTAAATCTTGACACCGCTGATGGACTTATTAAATGTAAAATACTACCACCAAATTTGCTGTTTCACCCAGTCCTACCTCTGAAAATAAATGACAAGTTGATGTTTGTACTTTGTCGCACATGCGCCGAAACTTTAAACCAGGGGGACTGTGAACATAGTGACGATGGGCGGTCGTTAACAGGTACCTGGGTAATCGATGAAGTGAAAAAAGCTATTGAAAAAGGTTACAAAGTATTGGAAACGTATGAAATATGGCAGTACGCAACTGATCAGTACGATAAACGTAGTAAAACCGGTGGGTTATTTAATGAATATATCAACAAATTTTTGGGTATTAAACAGCAAAGTTCTGGGTGGCCATCAGGTTGCGATACTCCTGAGAAGAAGGATAAATATGTTAATGATTACTTTGAGACGGAAGGTGTTACGCTTGACCCGAATAAAATAGAAAAAAATCCAGGTTTGAGACAATTAGGGAAGGCTGTAATTACATCGTTTTGGGGTAAACTCGGTCAACGCGAGAACCAAAGTAAAACCACCATAGTTAAGCAACCTGGGGAGTTTTATAGTATGATGACCAATCCTTCAATGGATATCAATTCTGTTTTACCAGTTAATGAAGACACGCTACTAGTAAACTGGGAATTTAAAGAAGAGACGTATAATCCCTTATCGACTGTAAATGTCGTTCTTGCCGCTTACACTACGGCCCATGCTCGCTTAAAGCTATACGAGTATTTGGAGAGGTTGGAAGAAAGAGTTCTCTATTATGATACGGATTCGATAATCTACGTATCAGCTCCCGGGCAGTACGAACCACCCTTAGGGCAGTATTTGGGCGAGTTGACTGACGAGTTAGAAGAAGAAGGGGTCGGAAGTTACATTAAGGAGTTTGTATCAGGTGGTCCAAAGAATTATGCCTACAAGGCGTGGTCCAGTTCTAAACAATGCGATGTAACTGTATGTAAAGTCAAAGGGATATCTTTAACATACAAAACCTCACAACTAATTAATTTCGACAAAATAAGAGATATGGTCCTAGAAAAAGAAGAAACGGAACCTATTCTCGTATCATCTAAACTTATAACCCGAACGGCGGAACACAATGTACTAACAATGAACACCTCTAAACTGTACCGGCTAAACTCTACAAAGAGATGTTTCTCATCCATAGATGGTTCTTCCCGTCCATACGGATTTAAGAAGCTTAGGTTAAGTGAACATTGAAAAAATTATAAATTTACAAATGTATTACTTATTTGTAAAGTGTATGATACAGTAATTTTTTATAAGGTATAATTTTATTACCAGACTATAAGTTAAGCAGAACCTATTGTAAATAGCAAACTATTGACTATCGTGCGAAAATGTAACTTGATGTTAAATAAACTTATTTTCCCATATATCGTTGTCTTTTCTTTTTCTACTCTAAATTATGAAGTGAAGAGACCTTTTTTGTTTAAACTCTTTCCTGCGAAATACTTAACGTTGTTAGGTACCCGAGTAATGATCTAAACGGACAACTTACAATTAACATCTTAAAGCACAGTGGCGTATTGGTTGATAGAGACACTTCGCATAATCACAAAGGGGTCTGCATAAAGAGGTATGATTGTTTGGAGTTACACGTCGGTCAGTGCATTTTAATCCTCTACCTAACCTAGCGACGATAAAGAACCTTTTCGCTGTTTGACAATTTGACATTAATATTAAGGCTATTAAAACTTTGTCCGACTGAAAAATAAAACAACCTATACCGAGTTTAACATAGATTATGACTATAAAGTTTGGTCATTATCGAGGAAAGCATCTCATAAATAGGAATTTCATAGGGCTTCGACTGACGACTATGAAGTACTCCGTATATTGATTTTTAACGTAGAAAAAATTCCGAGCATAACGAATTGTTTCACGATTTACATATTAGATAGAATTGTTGTCTTCACTGTGAAGACCGTAGATCGCAGGCTGGATAGGATTTTCGATAGTAAAACAGTTTCATTTAGACAGATTCCTTTTAGTACAGAGCCACTAGGTTGTGTTGTTTTGAGCATGCGCACTGGAATATATTTACACATAACGAAAACGTTCAAGACACAACGCTCACGGTGGAAATTTTGTGTGTGGGTATTTTATTTTAGCCATTGTTGTACCTACCATCTGCACGTGCTCAGTAGGCTGCTTAATGCTATTGATATTTAAAGTGACCTGGCGCATGCTGGTGATCACTTTACATGGTACTTTGACCAGGATTGCGAGGTCATACTTCAGCAGATGGTCCGGGGTGTAGAGCGATCCCAACGTGAACGCGAACCCAAACGTAAACGTGGACCCGAACGTGAACGTGAACCCAACGCGAACGTGACCCCAAACGTCACGTGAACGCGAACCCCAACGCGAACGTGAACGAGTTCATGTGTTTTGTTTAGTGAAGTCAATACAAAAGGTCCGTTATAGGTTAGGTTGGAATAGGCGCGCCCATTCCAACCTAACCTATAACGGACCTTTTGTATTGACTTCACTAAACAAAACACATGAACTCGTTCACGTTCGCGTTGGGGTTCGCGTTCACGTGACGTTTGGGGTCACGTTCGCGTTGGGTTCACGTTCACGTTCGGGTCCACGTTTACGTTTGGGTTCGCGTTCACGTTGGGATCGCTCTACACCCCGGACCATCTGCTGAAGTATGACCTCGCAATCCTGGTCAAAGTACCATGTAAAGTGATCACCAGCATGCGCCAGGTCACTTTAAATATCAATAGCATTAAGCAGCCTACTGAGCACGTGCAGATGGTAGGTACAACAATGGCTAAAATAAAATACCCACACACAAAATTTCCACCGTGAGCGTTGTGTCTTGAACGTTTTCGTTATGTGTAAATATATTCCAGTGCGCATGCTCAAAACAACACAACCTAGTGGCTCTGTACTAAAAGGAATCTGTCTAAATGAAACTGTTTTACTATCGAAAATCCTATCCAGCCTGCGATCTACGGTCTTCACAGTGAAGACAACAATTCTATCTAATATGTAAATCGTGAAACAATTCATTATGCTCGGAATTTTTTCTACGTTAAAAATCAATATACGGAGTACTTCATAGTCGTCAGTCGAAGCCCTATGAAATTCCTATTTATGAGATGCTTTCCTCGATAATGACCAAACTTTATAGTCATAATCTATGTTAAACTCGGTATAGGTTGTTTTATTTTTCAGTCGGACAAAGTTTTAATAGCCTTAATATTAATGTCAAATTGTCAAACAGCGAAAAGGTTCTTTATCGTCGCTAGGTTAGGTAGAGGATTAAAATGCACTGACCGACGTGTAACTCCAAACAATCATACCTCTTTATGCAGACCCCTTTGTGATTATGCGAAGTGTCTCTATCAACCAATACGCCACTGTGCTTTAAGATGTTGATTGGAAGTTGTCCGTTTAGATCATTACTCGGGTACCTAACAACGTTAAGTCTTTCGCAGGAAAGAGTTTAAACAAAAAAAAAGGTCTCTTCACTTCATAATTTAGAGTAGAAAAAGAAAAGACAACGATATATGGGAAAATAAGTTTATTTAACATCAAGTTACATTTTCGCACGATAGTCAATAGTTTGCTATTTACAATAGGTTCTGCTTAACTTATAGTCTGGTAATAAAATTATACCTTATAAAAAATTACTGTATCATACACTTTACAAATAAGTAATACATTTGTAAATTTATAATTTTTTCAATGTTCACTTAACCTAAGCTTCTTAAATCCGTATGGACGGGAAGAACCATCTATGGATGAGAAACATCTCTTTGTAGAGTTTAGCCGGTACAGTTTAGAGGTGTTCATTGTTAGTACATTGTGTTCCGCCGTTCGGGTTATAAGTTTAGATGATACGAGAATAGGTTCCGTTTCTTCTTTTTCTAGGACCATATCTCTTATTTTGTCGAAATTAATTAGTTGTGAGGTTTTGTATGTTAAAGATATCCCTTTGACTTTACATACAGTTACATCGCATTGTTTAGAACTGGGCCACGCCTTGTAGGCATAATTCTTTGGACCACCTGATACAAACTCCTTAATGTAACTTCCGACACCTTCTTCTTCTAACTCGTCAGTCAACTCGCCCAAATACTGCCCTAAGGGTGGTTCGTACTGCCCGGGAGCTGATACGTAGATTATCGAATCCGTATCATAATAGAGAACTCTTTCTTCCAACCTCTCCAAATACTCGTATAGCTTTAAGCGAGCATGGGCCGTAGTGTAAGCGGCAAGAACGACATTTACAGTCGATAAGGGATTATACGTCTCTTCTTTAAATTCCCAGTTTACTAGTAGCGTGTCTTCATTAACTGGTAAAACAGAATTGATATCCATTGAAGGATTGGTCATCATACTATAAAACTCCCCAGGTTGCTTAACTATGGTGGTTTTACTTTGGTTCTCGCGTTGACCGAGTTTACCCCAAAACGATGTAATTACAGCCTTCCCTAATTGTCTCAAACCTGGATTTTTTTCTATTTTATTCGGGTCAAGCGTAACACCTTCCGTCTCAAAGTAATCATTAACATATTTATCCTTCTTCTCAGGAGTATCGCAACCTGATGGCCACCCAGAACTTTGCTGTTTAATACCCAAAAATTTGTTGATATATTCATTAAATAACCCACCGGTTTTACTACGTTTATCGTACTGATCAGTTGCGTACTGCCATATTTCATACGTTTCCAATACTTTGTAACCTTTTTCAATAGCTTTTTTCACTTCATCGATTACCCAGGTACCTGTTAACGACCGCCCATCGTCACTATGTTCACAGTCCCCCTGGTTTAAAGTTTCGGCGCATGTGCGACAAAGTACAAACATCAACTTGTCATTTATTTTCAGAGGTAGGACTGGGTGAAACAGCAAATTTGGTGGTAGTATTTTACATTTAATAAGTCCATCAGTGGTGTCAAGATTTAACTTTTTACATCCTTCCCCAATATGAACTGCTGTAGGGTGCCCTATGGGGTATTTTCCATACTTGTTGACGTATGGATATAGGGAGGTAAAATCAACGTACTTTATTCGTTCATCTCCCTTTGTTATATAAAAGGATTTTGCGTTTCCTGTTCGACCACCATAAAACGCATCTCGCGGGTTGAGTGGTGAATATGACATTACGGGATGCGTTTCTGTATACCTGTACATTTCTTGTGTCATAAGTTGTCGAAAGTCACACTCCCACATTTCGTTAACGCAATAACCCAGCTCTTTTAATCTGTTAGATTTTGCAATTGTAGCTTCATAACGGTATTCGAGCGTCTCCGACGTATTATCTAACAAAGGCTCGTTCCTTGCATACTTGAAGCATCTGGGGCAGCCATGATAGTAACATCCATAGAACTCGAATACATCCTTCGTTTCATCACAATATCCGTCGACTTTTACACCTCCCACTCTTGCCTCCTTCTGCCTACCCGAATGTACTATATTTAATTTGCGATTGCGCTCTTCTAACAATAACCATCGAGTAGCTATGACGGATTGTGTATCACAACGTCTATATCCCCCCTTTGGAATGATGCCGATGGTATTTTGCTTTAAAAACGAACGCCGAAATATTTTGTTACACGCTCCCGGTAACGTGACGCTTTCGGTAAAAGGGCATACGTTCCCTTCCTTTATCATCAACTGTCTAAATTTCAGACACGACTGTGCCAATATATCAACGTCGGATATGCAGTAATCTATAAATTCTTTCCTAAAGTCAAATACGTAGTTTTCTGTCACTTTTCCGGCATGCCAAGCCAATAAGGCCTCCCTTTCGTTGAATTTAAGATTATCAGGGTCGAAAGCCTCTATTGGAGGCATTGGTCCTATATAGTTTTGGTTCCCCGATGTGTTAAACAAGTGCGGAAAATAACCTTTCTTTAGCTCTGTTAGATCGAACACCTTAGGTAGTTTACTAAGAGCCATCGAGAAGTAATTTAGTGAATCTAAAAATCTTACATTATTTAGAAACATTGAGACTAATTTTGTTCCTCTCATTATTAGTTCAGGTGTAAGATCCGTTTGGGTTAAGATATAATTTAATATAAACTGGTGATCGAAACCTCCACCGTTATGGGCCAAAACGATAACGTGCTTGAATCTTTTTCTTAAATTCAAAATGTGTCCCATAAATGTTGATATTACGTCATCAGTCAGTATTTTTTGCCGAAAGCCACACTTTTGACAAAAATAAAGTTTTTCCTCATTTATGCATGTATCACAACACTGTACAAACACACATAGATTTGGTTGATGTAAGAGAGACCCGTCTTCCAATTTTTCCTCTTGCATTGTTTCTAAATCGTAGAACACAAAAACTGTGTCGACCATTTTCGGAGTACCTTTATCTGTCGGCATATAGCATAAATGGTCTCTTTCCACATAATTGTTACACGTCTTACAAAATACTTCTTCACAAGTGTGTTTCCTAGCATTACGATATATGGCAAAGCAATTTTCACAACGACTAATTTGGGTACAAATATTATGTATCTTGTGATTGTCAAAACACCTTTGACCCCGAAACGCTCTTTTGCACTCTTTACAATTAATGCAAACTTCTTCCCCTTTAGAACATGCTGGACTTTGCTGGCACGCCGCACACGTTCCCCCACATCGATGGTCCGTTTTATTATTGTACGGTACGTGACATTCTTGACAATAATAAATACAAGCGAAGGCTGCGGTTAAAGATGTTATCACGTTGTAGTGTCCTTCGTGATACATTAAATTCAGGTGTTTTCCCGCACTATCACCCTCGAACATCACATCGCGTCCTTTTCTTCCGTATAGATAGACGGTTAGTTTGTAACCCGAAAGGTGGTTTTGAAATCGCTGTAATTCGGGTATACCCGCTCCACAATCGGCTATTGTAATTTTGGTTTCTTCTAATAAGTTCATAGCTTTTTGGTCCTGTATTTTACCTCTGTTAGTCCTAATCTTGTGATAATCGACGTCATGATCCACATAAGCCATAGCAACAACGATCGCCCGCGGTAAACACAAATTATCACTATTCTTAATTAACACGATGCCCCTCCTTGCTCTGCATTCTTCTTTATAATTATTATACTTTCGAGATCTACCCAAACCGGATGGTAAGCGTACAGATGTAACTCGAAAACAAAACGTTTCGGTACTTAGACCGCTACTGTTGGACTGATAGATAGACGTTATAGTATTCCAAACATCGTCAATCGCCACCTCTTTAACCGGCTTGAACCGCAACCACCCCTCACCATTTTTAAAGTCTTTGGAACAGAAGGAGAAACCAACCATATCGTGGGGTGATAGAGCCTCTACCGCCTTATGAATAAGTTGTATGATGGCGTTTTTTATCCACTGCACTGGATCCAAATTGTTTGGTACAGGTTTTATTTTAAACTCCATAATGCGACCGCTTAAATTAAAGCGACGCACATTACGAGTCACATCTCTTATTATAACAAAATTTTCCATAATCACAACTTCAAATACTCTCACCGCACAGAGAATAACAAACTGGAGAACTGCTTCGCGAACAAGTTTCACTCACACTATGATCGAAGCGCTCGTGAAGGCTTGGGGATATCAACTTTGCACGGACCGCAAACAGAAAAATTCGAACTTCTATCCAAATTTTGCAGAAATAATTTGCAATTTGTGTCTGTTTTCTGTACAAAATCGTCAGAATGGCCGCTTTTTCAGAAAAATTATGAGCATTTAACTATACAAATACAGTGCGCTCTTTACGTAGAAGGTATACTTTCAATTGTTTTCTAATATCTTAAGCCATTCGGACATTATTTTTAAAAATCCCTCTGTTTCGGCCTAAGTTGAAAACAATTGTCTTATTTTAACGATATAAGCTGTAATCTGTGGTGATTACCAGTATGACTGCGCAAATAACCATTTCGTCAATTTGTTACGCGTTTCTCCGAAATTAGACCAAGAGAGTAGTACAAGGCGAAACTGACTTTCTTTTTCCATATTTCTATTAATAACTTATAAAGTTATTTTGAAAATAGTGTTTCAAGGCCTAATGTAATTTCAGGACGCGATATTAACTTAAACTATTTGTACAAAAGAGCCCTTTTATAAACCGCGTAAGACCTATCAATTATTTAGCGAAATGATTACAGCCCCATTTGTGTTCTTTTCGTCGAGATCCATGGAAGTGTGATTACGCGGATGATTTCCAATTCACTTTTTCGATCTCAAAAGAGTTATTCCCAAAAAGCCATATTTGACAGTACAGTTCGTTAATAAGATCGTTTTTATTATACTAAGTAATACACTTCCACGTTAAACACCTACAAAACCGTCTCGGCAACTTTCCGAAATTTTGGAATTTTTTTCTCAAATCATGTTCTAATCGGTAAAATTCGACCTGGGGGAGTGCGGGGGTGATTTTCGATTTATTTTCTCGATATCTCGCGCCGTTTAGGAGCTATTTTGAAAAAACGCGTTTTAATTGCTTTTAGATGCAATAAAGCTGTTTTTTCGATGTAAGTAATATAGCTTCTCACCTTTAATGCCATTGGGTGTGTCGAGGTAGAAAGTTGCATTTTAGATAAGGAGACTTAGGTCCTTTTTTCGAAAAGATGTATTCCTCGACACATACAATCGATGCTGTGTATGAATAAGCTTTCGGCAACTTCTTGTACCCGAGTTTTGTTAATACAATCGTTTTATTATAATAACTAATATAATAAGTAACACATTTCCACCTTAAACACCTACAAAATCGTCTCGGCAATTTTCCGAAATTTTGAAATTTTTGTTCTCAAATCATGTTCTACTCGGTAAAATTCGACCTGGGGGGGTGCGGGGGTGATTTTCGATTTATTTTTTCGATATCTCGTGCCGTTTAGGAGTTATATTGAAAAAACACGTTTTAACGCCTTTAGATGCAATAAAGCTGTTTTTGCCTATGTAACTAATATAGTTTGCACCTTTAATGTCATTCGTTGTGTAGAGGAGAAAATTGCATTTATAGAAACGCCAACTTGGTCCTTTTTATTTTTTTGGAAAAGGTGTCTCTCGACACATGCAATCTGTAGGGGCAAGACCCACTTCGACGACTTCACGGATATCAACTAATTCGATTTTAGTTTTAATTAAAAAGACCTATTTTCTTAAAATTACGGTACTATAATATCGTAGTAAATATGAATCACATTTCCTAACATTCCTTGCGCGGGAGGCTATTTATAGAACATATAAATTCTAGAAAAGCGATTTTGCACAAGTGTAAAAGGTTACCGATTAGTACGTAATCTTTCTACGCTTAGTACCTAATTTTTGTGTATACATGTATTCGCTATTTTTTCAAAATAATTAGAACATCAAATTATTACTTGCAGCCAAATTTAACTTTTCTTAAAGCATGCTTTTTTCTACAATGAAGTAACTGAGAACACATAACTTTTGCTTTATTACATTCTATTAATAACACAGGTAATTTATCCCTGCCGGTTCTTGTTCTTCACACCCGTATGGGTTTAAAAACTTAGGGTAGATAATGTCACAATAAGTAACGACTTGTGATCACTTTTACGCTACTCATATTTTGTAAAATACCTATGTAATGTAATCACCATACGTAACAAATTTTGTAACAAAAGTATAATAATAAATCTCCAAAGCTTTCATGTTATTGAGGTTTTCGTAAATGACCGTGTACTCGAGATTTGTACATATAAATCAAAATCGGTATGTACCAAAGAATTGTTCTTGTCTTAAATATTATAATTAACACACATATAACAATGCTCTAGTGGCCGCCTGCATTTGATACTCGCCTCTTAATCGGGCAACCCAGGTTCGAACCCCAGGACAAGAAAAAAGTTTTTCAAAATTAATCCAGGCGCAGTGTCTGTTTGACGCCCCACTCCTACTAGAGAGCTCTTAACTCGTACGAAATACGCCCGTACTTCCTCAGTTAATCGCCGGCGGAGGGCCCGTTATAGGTGAACGTCAAATTCTCATAAAGCCATAACAATCGCATGACGTACATCATAGATACCGTGGTAGAAGCTTAGGACCTCTCCTTAAACGGTCAGGTTAGAGAAGTAGAGGACCGTCCAGGTAGGTGACAGAATATCAAAGGAAATAAAAATTTCCACGGTCTAGGGCCACCCACGTAGGCGGTATACATCAAAGGAAAAAGTTCCCTCGGTCTAGGACCACGCCCACACAGGTGGCATATATCAAAGGAAAAATTCCCACGGTCTAGGGCCACCTCGTGGGCGGCATACATCAAAGGAAAAAAAAGTTCCCACGGTCCCCAGAATTTTCCCACGCACAAGCGACCCAATACCTACTCTCGTCCATTAAAGACCTAGTTTCTATACTTGATACATAAATAGCTATTATGTTGATTTTAGTCATAGTATATATGAGGGCATGGGTCTTTTTTAAATTATATTTATAAATGCCCCAATTTAAAATTTGCAAAAGATCTGTAGCGAGATGTAATCTGGTAGATCAGTTACAAATTTTCAGTTTGTTGCCATTATTGTCAACCTGGTATTTTTTACTTAAAGTAATATAGTCATACTTTGTATGTAGAGTGTAACAAATCCTAGAACAAATCAGTTTGTCAAAAAATAGTAAGTTGTAGAGATCAACATTTTTTCCACCACACAACAGACATACTGTATATAACTTACATAACATTTCTTACATCAAACTAAGGGCGATTTATTGGGTGTTCTTCACGCCTGATACATACTGCATTATTCTCAAAAACAGAGCTATCAAGCATTGAAACAAAAATTTATGATGCTACGAGAGGGCTGTGGGAATAGAAAGAAACCATTAGAAGTCAGAAATTCACACACAGATTGTAGCTATAAACATCAAGTGTCACGAGTCCTTTTTACAAATTTACTTATCTTTTATTGTAACAAGACACACTCTCTACGGAAGAGAATGCAAAAAAATGAGTTCACCTCCAGAATTAAATTAACCTTTATTAGTTTTCTTATGCCTAACACAGAAGTTTTTCCAACCTGATCCCTTTCATACTGTAGAAAGCTTATAAAATAAAATTGGGGTGTTTATTTTTAGAGCTTTACAAGTTTAACAAATGCGAGAAAAGTTTATCATCTAATGTTATTAATGTTCCTCCTTTATGCAAGTCCAAGTGCGGTATTATTTTAATGTTAAGAAAATGTTATCTATAATGGATTAAGCAGGGAAGAGTTTCGGCTTTTCATTGATCTTTTGTAGGTCTAAGCGATAAGAATTCGCCCCGTTTATCCTTTTGTTCCTTCGAAATCATTAATCAAAGCAAACAGTTAGTCAAAAGCTAATTTTGTTCTTGAATAATAAGAGATTTGTTTAATTCAAACTTCGTTAATGGATTATATTGAATTTGGGATATTAAATTTTGGCGATCATTCACGCACTTTCAATGGCTAATTAAAAAATTCTAGTAATCACGTGGACGCTAAATTTTTACACAAGCACAAAGAAAAGTAATCACAAAGAACATAATACTCCTTGGTAATAAGCAATTCTCCAATGTTCAAGAAGAGAACTGTAAAAAAGATCATTTCAAATTCTTTTTAGCAGAACGTAATTCTAATTTCAGTTTTATGTTCCTGATAAGAATGAAAAGTATACTTAATTAGAACGAAACTGCTTTTCTGTATGATTTTTGGCGCTAGAAGTACCTGATCTCTAAATAGCCAAGATCACTTGAATACTAGCAAAACCTGCCCTTCCAACGAGAAGCACGAGATTAAAATCTTATTGTTAAGTAGAATTTATGAAAAATTGCCCTACTTTTCCTCCCCTTATTTGCCAAAGGAAATATATGGAAATAGCTTTATATATAAACCATCCCTCCGAATCACAAAAGTAATCGATTCCCTTGTTTATTTTTATATTTGTCTTACAAAATATTGAAATTATTAAGTGCTTGAAGTGAAAGTGAAGACTCACCTCGTGCAAAACGCTGGAAATGTAAATATCCGTTCTGAAATAAGCGATTTCGGTGTAATTAAAGCAAACAAAATTATTGCAGGGCAAGTTTGTTAGAATTTTCACGTTGAAATAAAGTTGAGAATTCCAAATCGGGCATTTATCGAGTTTTTCCAAGTATTTAATCCAATTAGCAAACATGGTAATATTTTGTAAAATGGTTGATTACAAATTTCAATATTACATTTTCGAGTACCTAAGTTTTCAAGTAAACAGTTGACAGTCAAAAAGACAATTTACCGGTCCGTTGATATGAAAAAATGTGAGTGAATAAAGAATATGTGTTTTCATTGAGCTTTAGTTGATAATATACACAGGGTGTAACATTTTAATATGTTAATAAACTGGATTTCAGTAACCATAACAGATAGAAGAACAATTAGACGGTTTAACTTAAGTTTTTAAACACGTCTTTTATA